GTTATCTGCAATCTGCTACCATTTGTTTCGTTCTTAACAGAAAAAACAATATCCAGAAATTTTGACCACTGTGTACCACACTGAAAGTCATTTAATAACATCATTGGAAACACATTGAACAATGCATATGGTATGCAAAATATGTTTACTAGTCCATCACCTTAAGTGCAAATGCTGCAGTGACATCATTTTACTCAAAAATGGAAAACAAATAGTAGGACAGATAGTTGTCTAGTTTTGACAGTAAGTTTCTTCCTTATAAAATCCTTTAACTCCTTTCTATGCTTAAAGCAAAGCAGGTTTGTTTGTTGAAACTTTTGGGAATATCAGATTATGTTTTCATGCATAGGAGAGTCACAGAATGAAGTTAATTCTAGTCAAATAATCATTTCTACAGTATCTTGCATGATGAACAGAGTCCATATCATTAGCAAACAAATGTTATTTTAACTAATATAGCACTTTCATGACATGTGAACCCTTTAATTCAAAGTTCAGGACAGATATAATGTCTAAAGAAAGAGGCCTTTTTTCTGTGCTTACATTGAAAATACATGTCAAGATGTGTATGGCTGGACAGACCAGTGGGAAACAATTTCACAATTCTAGATAGTTTGATAAGTCTTCCCTAAAAACCCATTGTTACAGAGCAGTTGTGAAATATTTTTCAGGGATCACAAGTCCTTTTATTTTTTTCTATGAAGGGGATAGGATGGAAGATAATTAAGTAGTTTGGAACATGTATAAAAAAATATCCTTTCAAGTTAAAAAGGCAGCCCAGGAAGAAGAATGATTTTCAGATAATTAGCTGATGGACAGTCACTAGCATTCATAGACTAATGCTGAAATACAAGACTGTAAATTTACAGTTAGAGACTGAGCCAGTAGAAAATTTCCTATATCAAGTAAGTGTAATTTAGCTTTTGGGAATGACCCAAAATGAACATAAGTAAAATTAGGAGAAGATATATATATATATTTCTCCCATTTTATTTCCTTATCAGGAATTGCTTTACTGTGGTTAATTTAATTTCTGCTGAGCTGTTTTGGGGAGCACATGTGTAATGGTATGCATTCTCCTCACAGTGAGTATTTATGACAACTTAAGAAAAAAATCATGCTTGGCATTACCCCAAGGAACATTAGTGTTGAGATACAGCTGTATTTCTATTTCTGACTCAACTGGAAACTGAGATACTCAGCAATACAGATGCTAAAGGCTTCCTATGTCATTTTTGTTTTAAGCAACGACACATTCTACCAAAAATAATTTTTAAAATGAATAATATGCCAAGTTAAAATTTGTGTGGAATACCTTTATTCACAAATATTCAACAGGATTTCATATTGTGCTTCATGCAAACAAATAACCCAGTGCTGTACTTCTGAAATGGTGAATACTGCATACAGCTGAAATATACTTCCATTCTTGCAGTTGTATAAATAAGGGCAAGGAAAAATCCCTGATTCTAGAATGTAATGTTAGTCTACTATTCACCCAAAGAGTCAAGCAGTCTTATAGCCAGAGAGTTTGTAAAATATACTGGCGTTCATACAACTTCAGAAGCAGCAATGAAGTTTGTAACTACCATATGTTGTTTTAATTTTCTGGAAGAATTAACAAAAAAAATGGTAAGAAAGCCTTTTGTATGTGCATGTGTCATCTGTGTATCTGCCTACTGCTTCCAGAAACAGCAAACTTCGGCTATTTCCATTTTAAATCTTTTTTTTTTTTTTTTTTTTGAATTAATAAATTCCTGCCTGTTTACTGGTAAACAACTAGTAAAAACTAATTGCTGAAAAAAGGCTGTTTCCAATGGCTAAGTATCATTTAAAGTTAGTGTTAAGAATTTGGTTTCTTAGAATTATGCCTCTTCAGTTTAAAGCCTAGCAATGCATTACAGACTATAGGCCTCAGACGTGCTCATTATAGTAGCAAAAGAATTTGCTGTGCATTATAAGATCCCCCTTGAGATGTTTCTTTTTAATTTCCTTCTGACTTGCTTATTTTATCTTTGCAAGCAGTTTCAACAAGGTGACATTTTCTAGACTAGTCGGTTGCTGAGGCATTCACCTGGAACAGGAGACAAGTGATGTTAAGCACCTGCTTTGAATCAGTCATGAGAATGATGTGAGCCAGGTTCCACAGCTTACTTAATGTCGTTCAAAGGCATAAAGCACCAACTCCACTATAGCAATCTAGCAATCTTTAGCTTGCTTGTGTTTTTGATTTTTAAAATGAAGAATAGGCCAGTAAATAACTTCTGCTGCAAGAAAGGTAGTAGAAACAGAAGGGTTGGAAGACCCCTGGGGAGAACCGGATAAGATCTGCTTTAGTGCTCATAGTGCTCCATGGAGGTAAAGGCTAGTGCTGGAATCCATTTTCTTCCTTCACGCCCTTCAGTGGAAACTACTTTCTGATATCTCATAAACAACAGCAGACTTTACTTTCTGGGGATTTACTACAAGCAAAGTAGGCTGCAGCCTATCTTGCTTATGCCTTTAAGTTAGACCTTAATCTCTGAGAATAAATATAAATGGGAATGGATTCTACAGTGGAACCATGTTTTAAATGCAATTAATTGTTATAAGGACTTTTTTTTAAGCAGACTTGTCAACATAAATGACTGAAATATAAATGGACCACAACAAGAATTTAGTTGAAAGAGCCATTTCTCATTGATATTCTTATATTACGAAGGCTTTCTTTGATAGCTTCAAGCTTTATAGCTCTCGCTTCGTGCTTCTTTTACAAATACATGTACACAGAAATATGAACATATATGTTTGTAGGTATATGTATTTATGTTTCTTTCAGAGCTATCAGCAATATTATTTTTTTTTTACGGTTGGTCAGTAAAGATGTTTTTGGGTCTGCTTTCCCAGTCAGAAGCTATTTACTGAATTTGTAAATGTATAATAAGCTCCTGTTGTTCTTTAGACAGTATTTATTAGGCTCATGCAGAGCAAGGTGCTGACTCTCACTAGTACCCTTGAGGCTGAAGATAGCAGCTTCAGGATTTCCTGCGGCATCAGTTAGTGCAGTGAGAAATGGGATTTTTGTTTCAAAAATGCTTGACTCAAGTCTGCAGTAAAATGTTGCATAATGCTTTGTGATATCTATTCATTGTTTCCTGGAAAATTAACCTTTGTTTCTGGCCTCCAGAATACTAAGCTTCTACATCATTTATTATGTCTGCGGTCACATTATTTATTTAAATAATATTGACTAAAAATGTTCATATTGCTCAAAACTTAACTTGGAGAAATCCTATCTGTGACATTTAATTCCTTTGCTGATAGGCGATTTATTGTCTAACTTCTCTATGGTATATGAATGTGGATAAATTTTAGTCCTTAGTCTGCAGTCCCAAAGTGCTAGCATTCGTTCACAGCCAGAGAATAAGCAAATATATTACTATTACTTTTTATCTCTGTGTTTATAAATATCATTATCAAAAATTAGGTATCAAAATCTGCTGTTTTCAAACTGATTTCTCACTCATCTTTGATAAAGCCACGGTCATGAATACATTAGGTGTGCACTTCTCAAATAGCTTGAAATCTAACACTTCTGAAGATAGATTCTTTAGGAGTCGTCATTGTTTAAGTAATTCTTCCCATAATGTGTTCTTTTACGCCTCTGCTATTTTTTATTTCCAACCTGTTCTCTTCTAAAATAAAGCTATTTTAAGATACTGCTTTCAGAAATGTCTTAGGTACTCAGTAACCTGGCTGCCAATGAAAGTGCAAAAGATGCATGATCTCTTTTAAAATCCATCCTTGAACTGTGTATTTTGAGAATGTTTTCAATTGCTGTACAGGACTGTGATCAGCAGAGGTCAATATCAAAATTACATTGGTTTCATCTCAGTCTTTCTTAGCAATTTCAAGAACCATTGATCACAGCCCTTTCTTTTGTTATATAAGACTTTACATAAAGTATATGCTATCATGAGTATAGATATACTATACTTTCTAGATGGACTAGCCATAAAGCTTAGCTCCCTTCAAATTAAAATATTAAAATGTAAGTTGTTAGTCCTAGCAGCCATTTCAGAACAAAGCTGGAACAATATTATGACTAGATTACATCCCTACACCCTCTGAATTAACAAAATGTGTGCTCCCCATTTTCACCTGCTGCTCATACCATTTACTCTCCAGAGAATGTGAGCAGTAGAAGTAGAAACATGTAGATGTGCTGAGGACACAGTCTAGAGTGATCACAGGTATGGGTTGACAGTTGGACTAAGTGATCTTATAGGTATTTATGATTCTAGGAGTAGAAATGGAAATCTTTGTTTACATCTGAAGAGGTGAAGGCTAAGCCACAACCTGATTCTACTCTCTCCCATCCTAATAATGTTCTCGTTTGCTGCAGTGAATGTGTTTCATCTTGCTTACATGCTTTCAGCTCATATAAAATAAACTTACAAAAGTCTCTGGTGGGCTGTTATGGTTTCCTGTTCCTAAGACGATGACCAAATTTGTTTGTAATTAATGGCTCTTTTCGTTGTGAATCTTGTGCTCAGCCTGTAAAATATGTAAATGGAAGGAAACCAGTGCAGAAGGGTATTTTATTTCCCTTTCCCTTTCCTTTTCCCTATGCAATTACATGATTAAGAGATAGAATTTGATATTATTTTTAGAAGCTTAGTGAAAAAAACATTTTTCATATAACAAATTTGTCAGAAATGTTTCAGGCGATGTTAGAAGGTTTTAGCAGGGAGATGGTGAATTTTCAGTGTATCTACACAATTAGAACTACGGATCTAGATTGAAATGCAGTGTGTGTACATGTTTTCCTTTAGGTGATTTCAGTTTACATATTGTTTTCAGTAAAAAGGAATCATTTTGGTGCATTAAGTTGCTAAAAAAGAACGGTATTTAACGTTTCCACAAAGCCAGTATTATGATTAATTACAACATGGTTGTTTCAATACCAACATAAAGCTAATGTTTTCTTTTTTCCCTTTTGGTACTCTAGGGAGCAGCCGTGGAAAGAGAGAAGATGAAAGTTCCTATTCCAAACTTGATTCTCTTGTATGCTACTCTAACGCAGAGCTTGAAGGTTGTGACCAAAAGAGGATCAGGTAAGTAAATCTTTCTCTCTGCTCTTACAATATGTTTTGAAAGAAGAAATCCTTGAAATTGAAAAATATACATTATGATGTTGTTACAGTTGTTCGAAGCATAGTTAAAAGGATTTCAAATTCTGCAGCAAACCAATTTAGCAACTTCTGTATTATTTTAGACTACTCTATAGTGTGAACTTGTTAGAAAATCAAAATAACAGTTCATCTGCTAAATGAGAATATCTTCTTTTTCTTTTTTTCCATTGTATCCCCAGGATTGTTTAGCTTACTTAAAGACTTGATAGCAGTCACTGAGCTACTGTACTTCAATGTAAACAGTTTATCTGTTGACTACCTTCTTTATGGTGAAGAATTTCTTGTGTATGCATGTAGCTTTGGCTTAGACAGTTTTTATAATTTAAAAAAAAATTAAAATCAAGCACATTAAATTTAATAAATTTAATAAACATGAAAAGTGAATAAGAAAATGCATTTTTGAAGGGGCTATATGTTGTATGTTGTAAAAGATTTGTGCAACTAGGAAAATATAGGTGGCTTTTCATCAATCCAGCAGAGGGTGATATATTTGCCCATCGTCTTTCATGTGTTACTATTTGTATGTTTAAAAGAAAAAAAGGAACTTTAATACTGAGACAATGGTTGTTTTTTTTTTTTTTCATCATGAAATTCTAACTTCCCCTTCTATTCCTCTTCATTGGATAATGGAAAATTTGCAGGATAATATTTCTGCAAACTCTTACTTTGATCTGTGGGTGTAAGGAAACTAAATCCTTGATGGAGGACTTGATCCCATGTTGATAGGATTAATTAATTTTGTTGTAACTAGTTATTTTTCTTTTGTCATTTGATTGCTCTAGGTGGCTTTTGCTGCACTGTTCTAGAAGTCTGGACTTGATTTGTTTATTTATTTATTTTCTTTCCCTTTTATCTGTTTCCAGCTGGAGTTGGCTGTTAGCAATGCCTGTAATAGTGAAGAGATGCTTAGGGGGATCTTTGTACATTTTGGGCAACAGTTTAAATAACATCTTGTATTTTCAATAGATCCTACTCATAACATACGAAACTAGCTCTGTCTTCAATGTTTTAATGACTGAAGGAAGGAAAATTAGGAGTACCACTCTAATATCTTAAAATATTTCTCAGTCAGGACTTGACACTGTGATATATTTAAGCTCAGAAAACTGATTTCTGTTCACTATGTGCAGAACAAAGGAGCTGTTGATGAAATGATGTATTTGCAACATGACGTTTGCCTAGACAGAAATCATTTGAACGTGTCTGGGTGAGGTTGTTCTTTTTGATCTTTTTGAAAGTTGAGCATTTGTGAGCTTTCAGTTGAGGTCCCTTAATCCAAATGTAGTATAAACAGTAAAAATCCTCTTGAAGCAATTTTTACCATGACAGACATTTTAAAAGGAAACAAGAAAGCAGCCAGTTATAAAATACTTCCCACTTCAGTGTGACACTAATAAGAACTCAAGTTTTCTTTGGATCTTATTTCATTGTTTTTGCTTATATCATCTTTCTGAGATTAACCACTTGAAGGAAAAGTGTTAAATATTCATGTTAATTTCTGTTTGGGAAAGTTATGTAATTGATGTCCAGGCAAAGAAAAGAAGACTTTTTCAGCTGTACTGAATATTTTCTATTCCTGTGCAGTAAAAAAGGAAAAGCTTTAATGGAAGTCTTTGAATCTTACTACAACGTGGGATTTTTTTTTTTATGGTCTTGCATGAAATCTGCTTTTATAGTATTTAGTTTGTCAGCTACGTTGCCAAGAAGACTGTTTTGTCATAGTGTAGGGTACAAAAGAAAAAGCTGAGTTTTACTGAAATTTCAGCTTTACTGTATTTTTTCATGCCATTTAGTGACTTCAGACGTGGTGAACTTCTATAAAATTAGGTGGAATGTAATGAATAGATGATAATGCTTTGCTTGATTTTTTTTTTTTTTTTTTTTCCTTGGCTGATTTGGGAGGAATATTTTCAATCCTGAATTGTTTCTATGAAGAAAATGTGGATTTTTTTTTTTTTTTAAGGAAGTTTTAGAAAATAAGATTCATTTTATACATAAGTGAAAATATTTTTTTTCTTCCTGAAGCTAATCAATTTATAGTTATAAGTAAGTTATATAGTTATATATAGTTACAGATAGTTAAATGTAAGGAAAAAAAAAGTATAGTTTAATGTGAGCATGTTAGTCAAAGGCAGCAAGTGGTGAGGTTTATATAGTGTTTAGTTGTTTAGTTATGTGCATTGTGTTCTGCCACCTGGATCAAAAGTTTGGCTGTGGTTTACTTTGTATTCATTACCGTGTCTTTAGGAATCTCATTATATATGCCTGAAGTGTGATTTTATTTCTGAGTTGAATGCAGTTGTCCTTCTCCTATTTCCTTCATAAAGATTGAATATCAGAGCAACATAGAAAACTGTAATGCTTTAATATAGGCAACTTTTGAATGAAAACAAGAAAACAGAACTGGACTTTCATTTGGAATTTATTGTGTCTCAATTTTGGAAGTGTAATGAATGAAGACTAAACCAAACTTGAAGCATGCTGTAAATGTTATTTTTAATTGAAGAAGTAGAAGCTTAAAAATAAAATCTTTTACATGCCTTTTTAGAATGTTTTTTTTTTTCATAGTAACTGAATATTTGCTCTTAATGGTGTCCTATCAACCTCTTCTACCCTTTCCTATGATAGTATATTTTCATATCGATGTAAATGTGGAATAGTAGTAGCCATTTTTTTTTTTTTAACAGATACGTTACTTTTTGCTGTTACGAATCAAAGCAATGCATTAGGAGTGAAGGAGTTGTTGCATTAGTATTCTCAATGGTTGTCCTGACTGTGGTGTGTTCCTTCTGTTCTTTTTTGTTGAGCTTGTTTCTAAATATCAAATCTGAAACAAATGTAACATTTCTTACCTACTTAGCCTCAGTCTTTTGTATTTAAATGAGATTCTTGAAAATATGTCTTCTCTGTGCTGTACTGGTTAGATTTCTCCTGCTAGGGTCATTTTTTCTAAGGTTCTTACCAGCTATGCTAAAAAGATAGTGATTAGTAAATTACAGTCTGAATTTCTCCATCTGATGTAAGTGCATTTCCAATCACTGTTCTGATCTGTCAAGAACATGAAAACCTACCTTCAAAAAGTCAGTGAGGATTCATAGCATGCCAAAAATGTGGAAGTATTTCCAGGCTCAAATTCTGCTTGTTTGTTATTTAATGGATAACAATTCTGACTATCTACTAGCTTTCAGGATTTAAGTTATATCCCATAATTTTATTCCTGTCTGTGCTTCCCTGAAAAACTGACTGAAAAAACAACGGTGTAAGATAAGGTTTAGATTGTGCTACCCTGGACTAAATGGTTGTAAGAGCTGTCATTATGCCAAACATTTGAATGATATTATTTAGAGTCAAGCTTTGGATCTTTCATAAACACTGGAGCAATTATTAACTTGTTCTACCACTGTGGGTTATTCATCAGTTAAATGTAATAAATGCGTGTAGGGAAAGGTGTTAATGAAATAGTTGTTTATTTTCATTAAAACACAGCTCATTGCTGTGTGATGTACTTGTGTAATACTTCAACTTTGCATTTGATTCTGTTTCTATCAGGTATTTTAAAAAATTACAGAAATTCCTGTAAGGCAGTGAATTATTTCAAATGACTCTAACATAAAAAGGATTTATTTTACACCTTGAGTACTTAGTAACTGTGCTATTACATAAAAATGTCTAGGCAAGCAGTTTGAGTAACAATTTCATTAATATGTAAAAAATTATGCAATGAACATATTCCTGTATGTCTAAGTGTGACAGTAAATAATACTTAAACCTCTAAACTTTTCCTGTCAATTTTACTTGAATGCACAACTCCTGTAAGTTTTAATGCCTTGTCAGGCAAGGAAGAGAAGACTCTTCATCATAAGCTTTGCCATTCCAAACACTGACTGACACTTCGAAGTACTACTTTTCAAAGCATCTTCCTTACGTTTCTAAAGGTTTTCTTTCTGCTATTTTTCTTCAAATTATCCTGTATTAGTTTGAACGAAGTCGATTTTTTTATCCATTCCTTTGACATCCTGATTTAAAAAAAAAAATAAAAAAAAGTTTCTTAAAGTCTGTACTTCTCAGACTGAGTGGTATTTGACTGCTAACTAGTTGTAGAGAGAGGTTTTTTTTTGCATATTAACAATCTAATATTCATCAGACAGGTTAGGAAAGACAGCCTCTTACTGATCCATGCAGGTTTTTTTTTTTCCCCCATATAATGTAAGCAAAATAAAATACTATAACATACCATTCCATCTTGTGATTATTATTATTATTATTATTTACCAAGGTTGCTGAAAACAGACAGAGGATTTTTTTTGGTGTTAAATAATCTCCAAAACGTGTGGGAGGAATGGGGGGAAAGTTTGCTTTTTAAAAAAATGCGTAAGATATTATAACCTCATTGTATAATTAGACAATTAGGATACTGACATTTTAGACGCTAATAGGAGTTTGATGTCATCTTGTATCAAAAAAAATTGAGAGTTCTTATTTTCTGTGTTTCACTGTTTTTCTACTGATTACCTCGCACGGAGTTAATGAAGGAGCTATGTTCTATCTCACTTGTGAGAAAGTCAGTCTTCTCTTTGTCATATTTATTCTATGATAGAAACCAAATTTAACTGAGAGGACAATCTCTCGTGTGATGGTTTATCAGGAAATGTACAGGGTCCTTCACATCATTATTATGAGATTAAAGTCTGCAGATGTATTATTCATGTAGGAAAAAATGTTTCTCTTTTTAATGTATAGTACCTTTTTGTCTGAGTTACAAGTAATGAATATGGGTGGTTGTAGTCATGCTTATATGGAGCATTATGAACTTCATGAAAATGAGAAGTCAAATTTTGACATTGCAGCCCTTGTTGATGTTTCTCAATTTTAGTTTGCCTTGTAGGAGCCATTTTTTAGTAGATAATTTTAAATAGATAAAT